AACCTATATTTTGTAGGTCAAAGATGGAGCACAGCTAGTGCTTACCTTCACCCCGCCATATCACGCCCAAACTTGTCAGCCAAACCCAGAACCCTGGTAACGAAAATTTTGTTTCAAGGGACCAAAGCTGTAGGGGTTGAGTATATCGAAAATGGGCAAACAAAAAAGGTAAGAATTTTTATTTCCTTGCCTGAAAGAAATTGGTGAAAGCAAAATAAGTCTTTACGGACAATACATCACAATTTCACTTTTACAGTATTTTTAGGCTGAAGTCACTATCCATCTCTAGAGTATGATTCTCTTTTTAGCGATTTTAGGGAGCATACTCTTTCCTTTGTATCAGCTTGCATTATTATCAGTACTGAAAGAGGGAGTGGATTAAAGCAGTAACACCTAACCTTCTGGCCCTGTGGGCTAGATTAGTGGCACAAGGTCAACCTGTGGGCCAGACCCCATACAGGTGAGTGTGATCCAGTGTGCTGGCTCAGCTGTGCATGCTTGGATCTGGGTGGATGGTAGTGCATAGGGCCACATTATCCTGCCTGGGGAGCTCCCTGTGGGTCTGGAAATTTGACAGTAGGGGATGCTCCTGCCCACAGCAAGGGGTCTGACTAGAAGATCTAAAAAGTCTCTTTCAACCCTACATCTATGAATCTATGAATGCTGCCACTGGAGCCGGGAGCCCTAGCCTTGGAGAGGCGTGATGTATAGTCCCAGCGGGAGTGGTACCGAGAGCGCTAGAAGGCAGGGAAAGGAACCCTTAAAAAAGACTTTCAACCCAAAGAAGGCCATATGGGAGACCTTGAGGAGACAAACACAGGGTGTGAGATGTATGGCCAAGAGGGGCAGAAACAAGGTTGAGCCTGGGAACCTGGTAACCTGGGACTAGACAAAACCGAGAAGCAGGTGAGGCCAGATAATAGTACTGAGTGCACTCAGAACTGATGCATGATGCGTGACATGGATGGAGCATGGGTGTGTCTGTTGGGGTGGAAGGAGACCACAAATTTAGCCCTTATGGCTCATAGAGTGCAGTGGGAGTGAACCATGAGGAAGAAAGAGAGCACCTAGGCTCACCAGTTTCTGAAGGCAGCCTCCCTTCTTCCAATTTTACAACAAGATGTAGCAGACAAGGGACCAGAGTTGGACCTTAGGAGGCGAGGGCAAGAGCCAGGTAGGGTTGAGGCAACCACAAGGGGGTGTTACGACAATACCTGGTGCCTCACAATGTGCACTACTTCATGGCAGCTTGGTCCATGGATTTGTGAGCTTAATCCAACTGTGGAACAGGTGTTCGCAGCAATCCTAGCAAGGGGTTTCCATGCCAGCAGTCAGCAGAGACACTAAAAACTGAACGGGATCCAAACAAAAATATCTATTGACAATAAGTAATTGTTCCTCTAGGTCAAGCTGGAGGTACATTAGCAAATCAATGTAGGGAAGCTTATATTGACATTGCCTCAATTTGGGTGGTCTGAAGATAAACAAAAAACTTCAGCCCCTGCTGCCCTCAGTCTCTCACCTTTCATAAACAGTAAAATTTCTCAGGTAACCTTTTCTTTGAATATTTTCTGATTACTGAGCATCTAACAAGGAAATTCCTTAAGAATTCAGATATTATTTTATAATTCCACAATAATAGTTTAGTAACAGTGAAATATTGTAATAAGAATATATGTTAACAGTGGAGAGCACAAATACTGACAGTGAAGTACACTGCACCCACAGGACTCAGTATGTGTGAAGGAACATCTGATAAGTGTTAAAAGATAATATAAACAAGCTGGTCTTTTATCTCCTAATATGTAGAATGTCTGTTCTTTTCTGAATCAATTAGAATGACTCTTTCCATTAATGACGTATTGCAAAAATTATACAATGGGAGTTGTGTGTCTAAAGGAAGACATTGGTAAGAGAAAGTACGTTGCATTACTTTGCATATTTTTTCATTATTACAGTGTGTTTGGAGAGTAGGGTGATAGGACAAGTGTAGTCCTGCTGATGTTGGCTTTCAAAATAGTGTACTAAATTTGGAGCATCAAGTTTACCAGCTATAGAAATTGGTATAGTTAAGTTGGGCCAGTTTGAACAAATGCAGCTGAGGGGCTCTATGAGCCTGGATTCTGCTCCTATCTGCCACTGACTTCTTGGGTGATATTGGATGAATCATTTTGATCTTTTCTTCCTCAGTTCAGCATCTCTAAAATAAGAGCTACTAAAGATTATTACATATATTTGTAAAAGTCTTTTAGCTTTCCAGACAGAGAGTGCATCAACATGAGATGCTACATTGCCCTAGTGGTGAGCTACATTTCTGTAGTTCATTGCTATGCTGAGGTAGGGTCGGTGTGTGCGAACCATGACACTGATGCTACTGCGCAGTAGCATGGGACAAAACTCTAGCATGGGAAAAACCCCATAGTGTTAGGACTGCTTAGCAATGCCAGTTATTGCCCAGTCATTTAGTACTTGCTTAAGTAACAATTTTGCATTCCGGTGTGGTAACAACTATGCAGTCTGGTACATGTAGATGTGCAGTCCTGCACATGTGTAGATGTGCCCAGAATGTGGTAAGTAGCTCAAGTAATTATTTTTCTCCGTCTTTCTGCCTGGACTGTTAATGTATTAGGGACAAACATGCTGCTCAGTACTTTTTCATTCTTCTGCAAAGAGAACTCAGATTTCTGTTATTCTCTGACATTGTTTTCTACTGTTTCTAATTTCAGAGCAGGAAATCTAGGAAACTGCATCCATTTATTAAAGTTATAACAGGTGGGGTCTGTGTGACAATATTAGAGTTCAACTTTTAGTTTTATTCTGCTAGAACTTAAAGCTCACAGAAGTATGTAAATACTCTATTTTCTTGCATACAACTTGCACCTTTCCCCCCAAAACCAGCTGCTGGAAATTAGAATGTGCATTATTTGTGAGAAACGCAGTAAGAGTAAATTTTGCCACTTAGTGGGTGAAACCAAAAGTAAAATCTGCTAGGATCCACAGGGAACAGAATAATGATCAGGCTTGAATTCCTGGATGCTGTAGCTGTGATACTTACTACGAAGAAAAATCTTTTTTCCTTCATTCTGCATTTCAAACCTGAGGTGTGCACTGTATTCCAGGATATGGTGTGTGTGAGAAAATATGGTATGTACTCTGGTATTTATGATGACTTCTTAGGAAAATGGCCTGTTAACATGTTTTTTTCTTCTGTCTTTCTGGTAGATATAAAAAACTTCACAGGTCTTTACCTCCCTCTTAATATTAGAAATTTAGTTCATTCGTACTTAGTTTTTTTCATGGGGAATTCTATGGAAGACAGGACAGGAAAACTTGAAGTTAAATAACATTGGAGAAATATGCAGGGGTGTGGCAGGGCATCTGCAGCACCTGCCACTTTAAGGTTTCTAGTTGGCAGTGGAGCAGCCGGCAGGTGAGTGCTAGTCTCATCAAAGCTAGCACATGACCCTGGGAGGACCCTGGGACTGACTGAGGGGGTAGAACAGACTCCATTTTAACCCAGGCCCTTAGAGAGTAGCAACAGTCTGAGCTGGGCAGGCAAGGAGGTAACATCAGGCTGAGCTGCTCTTAGAACATCTTGGAGGTAAGTGCTGGAGCTATGGGGATGGTTTGGAGGTTCCTGGTCCTGGGTATGACCTAAAACTGCACCCTGCCAGGGAAGGGTGGCTTGGTGGGACTTCCTCTGGCAAGGAAGCCCCCAGGAAATGCCAGGTCAGTTACCTCCCTGGTGAAAGGCAAGGAGGGGCACCTGAAAACCCCAACCCCTACCTATGGACAGGTTGCCAACAAGGGAAGGGACCATGGTCAGGCAAGCCCAGAGGGGGACACCTGAGCCCTGTATAGTGGGGCCACCTGAGTCCCACAGGGTGCAAGACCCCAAGTGGCCTAGAGGGGCTGAGCGAATGAAGTGGCCCAGAGTGGGGCTGAGTGTGGCTCTAGTGAGGGAGCAAAAGGCCCAGTGAGGGGCTGAGTGTATAGAGTGGCCCAGGGAGGTGGCCAAAATGTAAGTGGCCCAGTTGAAGGCGGTAGAATGAGTGGCCCTAGTGAGGGGCAAAATACTGAAATGGGACTACAGAAATACCGGATGCATCAATATGGAAGTACTGGGTATGCCAATATAGAATACTGGATAAAGGCTGGAAACCCTGGTGTGTGCCACCTAACTGGAGGCCGGGTGCTAGGCCAGATATGGAAGGCCCGGTGTGTGCACCAGAAGGGAGGCCAGGTGCTAGGCCAAGAAATATCTGTGAGGCATGGGACACATATAAGGAGAGGATGGAGCGTGTACTAAGGGCCCTTGGCATCAGGAGGGCAAGCAAGGGGCAGCCTCCTGCCTTAGAAACAGCAGTCATACTGTTTTTCATCAAGGCATGGCAGGTGAACGAGGCGGAGGTTTAGCCTTGAACAGGCGGGCAGCCAGCATTGAGACCCAACCGTAAAAGCCAGCTGGTTTCAAGGGGAAACTAGATTACATTGAAATCAGAAGAGAATTTTTTAGATTATTTAAAAATTATGTGTGTTTTTTAATTTAACACCTACTTAATTCCAACACTTAGAGTAGGGGGAAAATTTCATTGTTAAAGATTCACTGGCATGATTCAGAACTCAATAAAGACACTGGAAAGATTCCTATTCACACCACTGGACATTGGATCAAGCCCTAAGAAGTCACTGAGTAAAATCAGGAAAGATCTGGGCAGTCCTGCCATTTCTGAGATGCAAAAAAAAAATAGGCAGAAAAGATGTTGTATCTTCTAAATTAACAACAACAATAAAAGGGAACCAAGTCAATATTTTTTCTTCTGCAAGTTATCTTTCTGTGCAATATATGACTATATAGAATGTGACATATAAGCTGTGAATAAGTGAAGGATTTGCCTTGGGTACTTGTATGATTTGAACTAATGACCCGGAGTAAATGTTGGGAGTACACATTTAAGAATAGCATTATGTAAATCAGCCACATTTTTACTTGGAAATAAAATGAGGACACATTTCTAAGACATGACTCACTAAAGATTCTCTGGAAGTATTTCTGTTTACATTGTGCAACATGCTTTAAAGATTTCACAATATGGTACAAAATATAACTTTAGGTATTGATTCAGCAGATCTGAATACTTAATGGATTATTTCTATTATATCACACC